GGCTTTCCTGCCCGTGGAGTGAGGGAACTGAGTGTCTTTGGGCAGGAGACTTGCTGGCAGAGTGCCTCTGGGCACTTACTAGTGGAGCTAAAGACCTTTGTAACATTTTCCCAAGCATGACAGAGGTTAGGCCTGCCCTAGAGACGGAGGACCAGGCAGAGACCTGCCTGCAGGCATAGCTGAAAAGAGGCAGTCCTAATTAAAGAACTGTGTTCAGAATTTTTCCTGATGCTGAACTATAACCTGTTATTTCCCTAGTAAAGTCCATTGTTAATATTGTCTGTGAGTTCTGTGTGGCAATTGCAATAAATCATCAAACCCAGCAGAGAGGTCGAGAGTGCCACGGGAGGGATGTTAACACCAGAAGTGGTAAAAAGGTTGGAGAGAGTTGATTCACCTTGACTGAAGCTAGAGGAGATCAGACATCCTCACCACACCATTTTTATAATTGGGAAATGTTATAATAAGAAAAGAAGATAGAAAAATAAGAACATGAAGCATTGATAGAATCTCAAGAAACTCAGATTCATACGGTCACAAGGAATCATATGGAAAATGTGATTTTCCAGTTACTGAAGGAAGTTGAATTTGTGCTTAGGCTGGTAGAGAATACTGAAGGACTTTATATAAGGGGATCCAATTTGCATTTAGAAAGATAATTTTGAAACTGGTGTGAAAGATAGACAGAAATAGAATGAAACTAATAGCAAGAAGATATTTTAGAGGTGGGTGTGGGCAGAGATGGGCTTTGAACTCAATGTGATTTTGTGGTCAAACCAGGAAAATCCAATTGAAAACAGTACATATTATTCAAATGAGATTGAATTTGGAGGTAATATAGAAGGCAGCCCAGTGAAATGGGAACAGCATAATCTTTGAATTTATCCATCAGCCACTTATTAGTTTGAGGAATTCAGGCAAGTTATGCAAATTCTCAGTTTACTCATCTGTAAAGCGAGGGCAATGACTGTCTCTCAAGGTTATGAAGATTAGAGTTAAGATATTAAATACACAGACAATATTTGATAAAATCTCAACAGATGTTGACTTTCTTGTCATTCCCTTGCCTGATAACTAACACTCAAAGCTATAAGACTGGCTTCTCACATAATAAGCCTGTGTAGATAATTAATAAGATGTTTTTGTTTGTGGTTTTTTACTTCAAGAAAATATTACCTTTATGAACAATATTTTACTCTTTATTAATCAAGAACATTTCTTAAAGTTTTAATTGTCCCATTAAAATTTGTTTTTACAGACCTTCACATACCTCTTTCTGCCTGAGCTTTGTAGTTGTTGCTATGTTGTTAGGTACCATCAAGTCAGTTCCAACTCATAACGATGCTTTGTACAACAGAACAAAACACTGGCCAGTCCTGAGTCATCTTCACCATTGTCATGTTTGAGTTGATTGTTGCAGCCACTGTGTCAATCCATCTCATTGGGGATCTAACTCTTTTTTGTTGAACATCCATGTTCCAGGGAAAATGTCCAAAGTATGAGAGAGGAAGTCTCACCATTGTCTGTTTAAAGGAGCAACATGGTCATAATTCTTCGAGAACAGATTTGTTCATTCTGGCAGTCAGTATTTTCAATATTCTTTGCCAGCACCATTATTCAAATCCATGGATTCTTCTCCAGTTTTATACGCTCAGCGTACAGATTGAATACGTACGGCAAAAGGATACATCACTGACCCAAACCCTTCCTAATTTTAAACTCCATTGTTCTGTTTGAACAACTGCCTTTTGGTGTATGTACAGGTTCCTTTAAAGGCACAGTTAATGTTCTGGAATTAACATTCTCTGCAATGTTATCCATAGTTTGTTATAATCTACACTATCAAACACATCTGCATAAGCAAAGTAAACATCTTTTTAGTATTCTCTGCTTCCCCAAGATTCATCTGACATCAGCAATGATAGCCATCATTTCACATCCTCTTCTGACTCCAGCTTAAGTTTCTGTCAGCTCCCTGTTGATGTACTGCTGCAACCATTTTCTAATTATATTCAGTAAAATTTTACTTGCATGTGATATTAATGGCTTTGAACTACACATTCTGTTCAATCACCATTCTTTAGAATGTGTTCAAATATGGACTTCTTCCAATCAATTTGCCAGGTAATTGTTTTCCATATTTCTTGGCACAAATGAGTGAGCACCTCCAGTGCTGCATCAGTTAGATGAAATAATTCAGTTTGTATTCTATCAATTCCTGGAGACTTCTGTTTCACCAGTGTCTTCCATGCAGCTAAGACTTCATTCAATACCAGAAGTCCTTGATCACATGGTACCTCTTGAAATGGTTGAGCATAGACCTGTTATTTTTTGTAAAATGACTATATTTCTTCCATCATTTCTTGATTCCTGCATCATTCAGTATTTTGCCCCAGGAATCCTTTAGTATTTTAAGTCAAGGCTTGAATTTTTTCTTCAGTACTTTCAGCTTGAGAAATGCTGAGCGAGTGTATTTTTTCCTTTTGATTTTCTAACTCTAAGTCTTTGCACATTTCATTATAATACTTGACTTTGTCTTCCTGAGCTGCCCTTTGAAATTTTGCATTCAGTTCTTTTACTTTATGCTTTCTAATAAACAACATTCTTATCAATGGAGAAAAGATTGAAGTTGTCAAGGACTTCATTCTTCTTGGATCAACTATCAACACTTGCGGAAGCAGCAGTCAAGAGATCAGACAACGTATTGCATGGGACAAATCTGCTGCACAGGAACTTTTTAAAGTATTGAAGAGAGCTTGAGGACTAAGGTGCGCCTGACCCAAGCCATGGTATTTTCAATAACCTCATATGGATGTGAAAGCTGGACAGTGAATAAGGAAGATCATAGAAGAATAGATGCTTTTGAGTTATGGCGTTGGAGGAATACTGAAAGTGCCATGGACTGCCAAAAGAACCAATAGATCTGTTTTGGAAGAAGTGCAGCCAGAGTGCTCCTTGGAGGCCAAGATGGCTAAGTTTCATCTCTCATACTTTGGACATATTGTCCGGAGGGAACAGTCTCTGGAGAAGGATGTCATGCTGGGTAAGGTGGAGGGTCAGAGAAAAAGAGGAAGACCTCTAACGAGATGGATTGGCCAGGTGGCATCATTGATGGACTCGAGTGTGACAGCAGTAGTGAGGTTGGCCCAGGATCGGACATTGTTTCGTTCTGCTGTGCATGGGGTCGCTATGAGTCGGGTCCAACTTGATGGCACCTGACAACAACAACAACAACCAAGCACGTTGGCTTCTCTATGTTCAAGAGCAAATTTTAGAGTCTCTCCTTATATCTTCTTTGGTCTTTTCTTTCATTTTTTTCATCATTGCCTTTAGTGATTAGTGCACAATTTTGAACAGTAGTTGTTTAATTGGTCTTCCTTGCAAGGATATAAATATTATGCTATCACAGATGGTATTGGATGTTAAGATAGATCTTGAAATTCTCTTTTTGTTGATGTATACAATGCCATTCCTCTGCAATCTGTCATCATTCCTGCCATAGTAAACTATATGATTATCCAATTTTAAATGGCCAATATCAGTCCATTTCAGTTCACTGATGCCAAAAATATCTATCTTTATGTGTTCTAATTCATTTTTGATGACTTCCAATTTTCCTACATTCATATTTTGTACATTCCATGTTCTGATTATTAATGGATGTTGGTTGCTGTTTCTTCTTCTTTTGAGTTCTACCTACTCAGCAAATGAAAGTCCCCAAAGCTTTACTCCATCCATATCTTTAAGGTCCATTTTACTTTGAGGAGACAGCTCTTTGCAGTCATATTGTGAGGGCTTTCCAACATGAGAGATTTACCTTCTAGAGTTATATCAGACAATGTTCTGCCGGTACTCATAAAGTATTCATTGGCTAACCTTTCAGAAGTAGTCAGCCTCTCCTGCTTCCTAGTCTGTCTTAATCTGGAAGTGCCACTGAAGCCTGTCAATCATGAATGATTCTGCTGGTATTTAGAATACCAATGACATAGCTTCCAGCATCACAGCAACACATAAGGTATCACAATATAACAAACTGACAGACAAGTGGTGGTCCTAAGCTTTAGGACGAGTATAAAATGTTGAAAACATATCTTGATGAGATTTCTAGCTTTTCTTATACTCGGCCAAGTGTACTACTTAGGTATTCTGTATCTTCATAGTATTTTTTTTCAGTTGAATAACATTAGCACTTCTAAATATTAACAATCAAAATATCATGGGTTCAAAAAGTCTTTTCCTTTGCAATCAGTCATTTAAAAATATCATGTTTTTACTGCATCACAGATATTTGGAAATGCATTATTTTTTCCCTAAAGCACTTGAAAAATGCAATGATGAAAGCAAATGGCTTTTCTCTACAGAGGAAAATGTACATTTGCACTTAAAAAAAACCAACAACCACCAAAACCTTAAGTATAGTAAGTTTCAGCAGTCCCCTCAACTCTCCCTACCCCTATACAACCTAAGGACACTAAATTAAAATCACCACTGAAGTTTATTATTTTTAATACTAATTAACTTTCCTGTACTTTTAGAAGTGATTATAATATACAAAAATGCATAGTTAAGATTTCAGAAACATGGAATCAACTAATACAGTAGTCATAATAATATTTAAAATCTATTGCCTCTAATACATATTCTAGGAACAGCACTAAGTGCTTTAGAAGTATTAGCTCATTTATTCCTCACAACAACTTTATGCAGCAATGTTTCAATTTCTTTTAGAAATGAGGCATGGAGTAGTTATATAACTTACTCAAGTTTGCAATCTAATAAGTGACAATGCAAGACTCAAACCCAGGTCTGTTTACACTAAAGCCCAACCTCCTGACTATATTTAAATCTCTTCTTATTAGAAGTCACTTACAAATGATCTACTTCATGTTCTACAACTAAATGATAGATGAAGCAGCAGGAATGTGAAAAGTTTCTAGTGACTGTATTTAATATGGTATTGTTTTGCAGCAAAACAATGAACAAAAATGTTAAGAACTTACTTGAGATTGATATCTGTGCAGAAGAGCCACTTCATCTCTTACTAGGGTCATGTCAGCAGGAACTGTTTTGCCACATGGAAACCCAGCTAGGATCTCTTCTCGTTGGCCGGCGCTGACATTGCCCAATATTGGGTAATGATCCACAGGTGTAAACTCACTTGCTGCACATTCATAGTAGGTGCCTGTCAGTAAAGTCACTGCCAGCCATGTTAATGGAGCAACAAATGCTCTCCCAGTGATGCTGAAGAACTGCAGGCAAGCCAACTTGCATTCCAGTGGGCTGCTTTGGCGGTGTGGAGAGGCACAGTTACAGCAATATTCACTGGTAATTGTCCACATTTGGCTTCTCAGAGCATAGCCAGCAATCAGCAGGATCAAGGCAGGAACAACTAGAAAAGCAGACCCATAATAGAAGTTTTTCCCAACTTGACAAGGACATTTGAATGTGAAAGAGGAGAACAGTTGTTGCCCACCAATTGTCAAAGCAGCAATTAAGGAATTGATAAATGTTCCATTTCTCTGCAGAGAAGATGCAAAATTGTTGAAAGTTGGACTCATTGTAGGAAGCTCCTATACCAGTCAGCGTGTGGTCCTTTCTGATCATTAGACTCTACCATCTATAGCCATTTAATGGGATGTGACTGGTTTAACTGGTTGTGTCAAGTGACCTAGCAGCCTTACATGTTTAAAGGATTCTAGCATCTTTCCTTGTGTACTTTGTGAATCCTGAGCTAATAAATGCATGTCAGACTACAGGTGAAGAATTTGAGGGAGAGACTCACCTGGTATGAGAGGAGGGAAACCTCTTCAGAGTATTTCCCACTAAGAACATAGCTTGTTGCCAAGCAAACTTCTGGCATCTTCCCCTGTGCTGCTTTTTATGGCACAGAAATGGAGCACTGAAAGCAAAGCTGAACATCCTTACTTTTGTATTAGACTAGAATTTGGTCATCATAAAATTATAATATAAGAAACAATAGAAATGATTTAAAAAAAAAACAAAAACCTAGAGCAATCCAAAATTTAAGCGCTTTAGGTAATAGAATGTTCATGGCCTAAGGATTCTGCCTAAATAACCCTAAAACTTCCTCAAAGGAAAATTAGAAAACTAGATCACACACATACACATACACCCCATTTCAATTTTGCATAAAAATTAAATTAGTTTGTATTGATAAATATTGTTACATTTTATTTAAAATTTAAGTCACAGATTTGTTGATACGGTAATTTTTGCTATATGAAAATGTGAGCTTTGGTTATCTATAAAATTATGTATCTACAAACAAGAAGCAAAATGATTACAAATGCACAGTATTTGCTGTGTTTACTTAATATTTGTTGTACGGCTTCTATATAAAGGGCACTGGGTAAACCTGGTTAGGTCTTACACAAATATGGAAAAGATAAACATTTCTCTTTTCAAATAAACTCTCAATTGGACATAAGTAAATTCATATTTAGTGAGTTTAAACATAGTACTGGGGAATTTATACAGAATATAGTACAAAAAGACAAAGAAATAATATATTTAAAAAGCAGTTAAGAGATATGTAAAGCCATGATCTGCCTAATAGAAATTATAGAAGGAAAAGATGAAGAGAAATACAGAAGTAATCTTTGATAAAAATACAGAGTTCTATAGAATCACAGAAAGTTCTCACATCAGAAGTGTTGAATGTTCTGAACAGGATAAAATTAAATAAATTTCTATCTAGACACATAGTGGGAAATCTGGAGTGTTACAAATATACAGATATTCTAAAAAAAAGTTACCAGAAAGAAAAGAGCAGATAACCTACAAAAGAATGGTAATAGATTAAAGCCAGACTTTACATATCATTAATAATAGACTCCACAGCACATAACCAATAATAGAGACCAGAAGACAATTTCTTAAGTGTTTGTTGTTGTTAATGCCAGCTAGTTGGTCCAATTCATAGTGACCCTGTATAGTGTTTCCCAGTAGCAGCTGATGAGTTATGATCTGCCGACCTTGCGGTCCAGTGCTTATCCTTCAGTGTCACACCAGAATGTTTGTTGTTGTTTTTGTTAAGTGCCGTCGAGTCAGTTCCAACCCATAGCAACCCTGTATAAGGTTTCTGAGAAGCTGCTAGTGAGCATGAACCACCAATGTTGCAATTCAAACCAACTTTGCAGTCAAGCTCATAAGCCCACAGCACCACACCAGTGTTTAGAGTCAGCTAAACTATCATTTAAGACTAAAAGGAAAATAAAGGGAGACATGTAAAGACTAAGGCAATGTCCTGCCTACAGAATATCATGAAAACAATTATTAAAGTATACATTTTAGCAAGAATAGAAAATAACCCTGAGGTAAGATATGGGAACAAAAAATAATGACAAGCACAGACATGTTTTAAAAGTCACTTTATTTAATTTTTAACTGTGTAAATACCTATTTTTTTGTTTTACAAGATGCAATTATGGCAAAAGACACAAAGTGACTGGCTTACAAGCTTTCAAAGGGAGCCTAGTATCAGAGGGTGCAGGGGGAAGGTAGAATCTCCACTGAGTGATTTCTAATCTGTCTGGACGGGGCTGGTAAAAGGAGGTGGGGATAAGACTCTTGTGGTTCAATAGTGAATAATTGCTATCAGGACTGACTGAGTTTTGAAAATGTAAAGGTAGATGTTTTGTAACAAAAGGAGGGGAGTGGCTGAGCTTTCAGTCTAGGAGTAGAGAGCAGAGGACCCTGAGACCATCAAGGGAGAAGAGCAGAGTGTGGGACCATATCCAGAGAAGCAGTGACACCAGAGATGGAGACAGAGATGATGATGTGGAGAGATGGAGCAGCTGGGGACTCTAGACTCAAGGAAAGAGTGGGGGGGGGGGGGGGCTGTGTGCTGGCGGCAGGGAGCAGGATTGCAGGATGTACCCTTTGGTTGTTTGAATGGTTATATATTGCTGAGTACTTCAGTGTACATCCAAAAAACAAACAAACAAACAAAAACATCCACAGGGATTGGAAGCAAATGCTGTTGTGTGATGATGCATGGAGAGGATTGTAATCATTGCAAATGAAATGAAATACAATAAGATGAATGTAGAGCTGATGTTCTCCCATGTAAACTATCACTCAATTCACAATAAAAGCTTTAAAAAAAATGCAATTATGGCAATACATTACTACAATAAGATACCACTATATGACCATAGGAGTCCTGGTGTGGCTCAGCAGGATAAGCACTGGACCTCAAGGTCAATATTAACTGGAATGTTGGCACTTCAAACTAAGGAGAACTGACTCAACGGCACTTACCATCCGACCACCAACAACATAAGTCCACTAGGATTACTGGTATGGTACTGTAGTTTATGCACTTGATCTTAAGGTCAGTGTGAACCACAAGGCCAGCAATTTAAACTCACCAGCCACTCCTCGGAAACCCTATACAGGGTTGCTATGAGTCGTAAATGACTCAACGACACCTAACAACAAAAACAACATATGTCCACTAAAATGACTAAAATTAAAAAGACTATGCTGAAAAATGGTGACCATATGGAAAACTGCTAACCTACCAGCTGCTCTGCAGAGAAAAACGAGAATTTCAGCTTTGGTGAAGATTTATAGCCTTGGAAACCACATTCAGGGTCTCGTTGAATGGCAGTGGGGATAATGATTGTTGTTGTTCGGTGCCATCAAGTCTGTTCAGACTCAAAGCAACTCTATGTACAATAGAACAAAACAATACTGGCACATGTGCCATTCTCAGAATTGTTGTTATGTTTGAGTCCATTGTTGCTGCCACGGTGTCAATCCGTCTTGTAGGTGGGTCTTCCTCTTTTTCATTGACCTCCACTTTTCCAAGCATGATGGCCTTTTCCAGGGACTGATTCCTCCTGATATGTCCAAAGTAAGAGAGACGAAATCTTGCCATCTTTGCTTCTAAGGAGACTTTTGGCTGTACTTCTTCCAACACAGATTTGTTTGTTCTTCTGGCAGTTCATGGTACTTTCAATATTCTTCGCCAACACCATAATTCAAGAGTATCGATTCTTTTATACTTTTCCTTATTTTTCAGTATCTAACTTTCACATGCATATGAAGCTATTGAAAATATTATAGTTTGGGTCAGGCACACCTGCTGATACCTTTTCTCTCTCTCTCTCTCTTTCTCTCTCTTTTTTTTTTTTTTTTTGGATACCTTCTCTCTTCAACACTTTTAGAGAGGCCTTGTGCCGCAGATTTGCCTAATGCAGTATGTCTGGACTGCTGTTTCCATGAGTATTGACTGTGAAACCAAGTAAATGAAGTCTTTGACATCTTCAGTCTTTTTTCATGATGTCATTTATTGGTTCAGCTGTGAGGATTTTCAATTTCTTTACATTGAGGTACAATCCATATTGAAGTCTGTAGTCTTTGGTCTTCATAAGTAAGTGTTTTAAGTCCTCTTCACTTTCAGCAAGCAAGGTTGTGGGGATAACAGGTAGGAACGTAAAATAATACAACCACTTTGCAAACTGTCATTGCCTTAACAAGTCAAACATAAATTTACCATGTTGTTGCTAAGTGCCGTTGAGTCGTTTATGACTCATAACAACCCTGTATAGGGATTCTGAGGAGCAACTGGTGAGTTTGAACCACTGACCTTGCAGATCAAAATGACCTTGTGGTCCCATGCTTATCCTACAGCAACAAGATGTAGAAATGAAACATCTGTCCAAATGAAAACTTGTATATAAATATCCATATTAGCTTTATTTCTAATAGCCCTTAACTGCATATAAAATAAATGTATATGAACAGAAGAATAGATCACTGTATTATTGTATATCCATATGTTGTTGTTGTTTAGTGCCATCAAGTAGATTCTGACTCATAGCGACCCTGTTTAGTTTCCTAAGAGTGGCTCATGAATTGACAAAAAGAACTAACTGCCAATAAAGACAACAGAGGAATTCAAAATAATTTTCTTGACCAAAATAACTCAAAGAGTATATATTTAATGTTTCTCATTACATAAAATTCTACAACATATGAATGAATCTACAAAAAGCAGAACAATGCTAGCATAGAAACAGGAGGAGCCAAGATGAGAGGAAAGGGCCAAGAAAATTTCTGCAGGTGATGGAAATGTTAGCTTTACCGACTGACTTGTTTATTATAGGAGTGTATAATTGAAAGTGCCATGGGCTGCCAAAAGAACCAATAGATCTGTTTTGGAAGAATTGTAGCCAGAGTGCTCCTTAGAGGCCAAGATGGCCAAACTTCGTCTCTCATACTTCGGACATATTGTCAGGAGGGACCAGTCACTGGAGAAGGATATCATGTTTGGTTAGGTGGAGGGTCAGAGAAAAAGAGGAAGACCCCCAACGAGATGGACTGGCCAAGTGGCAGCATTGATGGACTCAAGC